GATGTTCTAATGTAAAGATACATATAATAACCTTCTACACAATTTTCCTGGCACACAGGATTTTACTTCATGATGTTTCGTCCCGTACTTCATCTGAAATGCGCGTCACCAGATTCGAAGCGAGAGAATTTTCCACCGGTTTGATCGTGGTAACGTACGGCTTCTTCTCTAAACTTCACTGTTTCGTTTACATATATGTATATTAAACCACTGACTTTAAAAAGTTGTTATATGTTGTCATCTAAGCATTCATGCCCCTTCTGTCTAGAATAACCGCTGAAAATATTAATATCGGGGCATTTTACGGAAATGCACAAAATATCAATGATAACGTACGGCGCATTTTTTTCTGATTAATTGATTTTCTATATAATAGAAAAGTTATGTTTACCAGACAAAGGAGGATGTGTAGAACCAAATAAAGAAACTGAAATAAATAATATAAGTGTTCAGCTTTATTTGTTATCCAATGAAAACGCTGTATTTCTTAAAAAAAAATGTGTAAATTTTCATAGAAGAACAAAAGTCGATGATATATAAAAGTCCGTTCATAGCAGCATTATCATGTTTTTTTTTATATTATGTATATATGTTTATGTCATACACTGTTCGTGAGTGTGCATGTTTAATGTCCTCATCGGCTTTTAACGCCTATTTGAATAAAATAAAATGTCTACTGTCTACTCTTATAAAAAAAACCTGTAAGGCCATGTCGCGCAAATATGTCTTGTATATTAATTATTGGTATATTAATCAAAGGGCTGCAAGCTCTGTGGTATTTTCTGATCTTTGCAATCTAAATCGTACTGTATATCTATATGTATTTTCCTGTATAAGTTTATTTTATGTACTATAATTCATCTTGCAGGGCACCAGAGTTTGATACATACGGAATTTTTGCATAACTAGAGTTGCATCAAAAATCATTTATGTTCATTTTTTATGACAGCCATACTTTATCTTTAAATATCGTGGCTACTTCCTTAACAAAGACACTTAATTTTTTTTTTTTAAAATAGCTACCTCGACTGGGATTTTAACCCCAGACCTCTCGCACATTTAACGAGCGCTTACCTCTGCACCACGGAGATTAATCGAATAGTTTGAATAAAATCAAGTAATTCTAAATTTAGAATTTCCATTGCATTTCGGGTTTGTAATCCTTATTAATTTCGAGGTATTTTGTTTAAGATAAATCTGTTGTTTAAAAATGATGTAAATAATTTAGCGAAAATCTTCTGCCAAAACAGTCCGACATGTAGAATCGATATATTCCACTTATCGACGGTCAGATTTAAAGTATTCGGAGTAGTATTCGGTAATCGACATCGCTAAAAATAGCATTTTCATTGATTAAAATCATATTCATCCGCGTAAATTTATTGACAATTCTATAAGCCAACGCTCCTTTTAAACTTTGCATGCGTTGTAATTTGTTGAATACTTGTAACAAAATAAAAATATTTCTTTCTTTTACATCGCTAGTTTTAAGCTGTTTTGAGAACTACTTGTTGTTAGATTGAATGTCAGTCTTCGATCAGAAAATACAAAAACGAATGTCTATTATGCTACCAGCTAGAAAAATATTTATACCCGATGGTGCAGCATTGTTCAATTATTTTTGACCTGACAAACTTTTTTCTCAGATATTTATCGTTTCCTACATACAAATAATTCATTTTCAGCTGACTGGACAAATAGAAATCCACCTAGTAGAAAAATGCGCCGTACGTTATCATTGATACTTTGTGCGCCATACGTTATCATTTCCGTAAAATGCCCGATATTAATATTTACAAGGTAAATCTAGCCAAAATGTGCATGGATGCTTATTTGACATCATTTAACAACTTTTTTTTAGTCAGTGGTTTCAGTTAATATACATATATGTAAAAGAAACATTGAATTTGAGAGAAGAAGCCGTACGTTACCACGATCAAACCGGTGGAAAATTCTCTCGCTTCGAATCTGGTGACGCGTATTTCAGATGAAGTACGGGACGAAACATCATGAAATAAAAGCCTGTGTGCCAGGAAAATTGTGTAGAAGGTTATTATATGTACCTTTACAAAAGAACATCACGAATTTCAGAGAAGAAAAGCGAAAAACTTACTTTTCGGCTGCATCCGCCATCTTGTTTGTTTGGGTAACGAACGGCGTGATTCTCCCGCTTATTTAATTGTTTATTATTGCATATTTGAGACTTTAAAATCATTTATAGCTGCATTTAACTAAGATACATATGATCTCAGGCTTTAAAACTTCCACATGTTTAATTATATATTTTATATGATAATTATTTAAAATAGAAAAAAAATAAAACAGCATGAGCAAAGTAAGCACATTTGTGTTGGCCACAATATCTTTTATTGGCTTAATAATTCGGTGTTTTATTTGGTCATTCAAGAGTTATTATATTTATAAATCAGCATGCGAAGGAGCTATGTTTGTGGAAAGTGTTAATGTGATTGGAATGTCAAAGGGAAAAATTACTTACCTATCTGTAATAAAAGCATTATGATCTAGACATTCTTTAATGTAAATATTCTTTAAAACAGTATCTGCTTCAACTGTTTAATTTCTAGTTTGTTAATACAGACAAATACGTAACAAATATTTTTAGATTGTATTACTAGTTCATGGACACAAGCTACCGTTGACGACCCAAAGCACCGGTTTAAAAGCAGTATTCAATATTTATACATGTCAATGATAATTTAGGAATTTAGAAACATCCACAGTTGTATTTATACGGCGTTGATCATGTAACCTCCAATATGACAGTTTCTAACATTCTAAAATAAAAAGAAACGAGAAAACAATCGGACTGAATAAAATAAAATGGAAATTAAAAAGGGATTTCCCCCACAAAATATGATAACGAATTATGTAGTACGTCACCTTTAAATCAGCTAAGCTCCGTCGTGAATAATTTAAAAGATAATCGGATGCCGAAGTATCCGCAAAGTCAAATATTCACAATACATTTGTTTTGTATGTATAGATGTATGTACAGAATCAAAACTTTTATCACTATTGACTTTAAATCAATGCAAATGGGAGCAATTGACATCATTCCGATAGAAGAAAATGCAATAGGAGTTTTTCCCATGTTCAGTTATACAAATAACAAGAATGAACTAGAAATGTAACAACGCATTTTATATTGTCATGAAAAGTCGAAAGAAATATAACAAGTGTAACGCACGAGTGTAAAACATAAATGACACTTCATCCATCTGCACTTGTATACATCACGGAGAAATTAGATTAGCAGACCCTATGTGCCAAATTACTTGTGCATATTAATACGACCTGGTATTAAACACTAATCTGACACTTATCTTTAAAACAAATCCCTAAATTATAATAATTTAATGCAATAATTTCCCAAGTGGTCGTCACCAATCTCAGATTCCATGCTTGTATCAGTGAGGTATATCAAATAAAAACGTGCTGCAAGAATGATTCTAGATATGACCATCAATCAATTCAGTTATTTAGTGAAAGAAAATGAATTCCATTCAGAACTCGAAAAAAACTATTATATTGGAATACTTGAACACAAGACGTTAAATGATGTAACATCAACATACATGAAGGATATTGTTAGACTTGCACAAAAAGGACGAATTATGCTCTACGATCTTGAGAACGCGATGATGTAGTACAAGCCTATGTTAGATCTCAATTTCCCAAAAGCATATTGCTGTACAAATGTGCAATGATATTCCTGTTAATGTTCGTCAAAAAATGATGCAATTTCGATACAAATTTAAAAGATAGCTACATAGTCGCAGCCTTCACTGATTAATATGTTTTGCTTCTAACGTTATTCATACGTGTTTTTCTTTTGTTAATAGTTTAATGGTTTAATTTTGTTTTAAGCAAATGTGTGTAAAAATGTTTGTTTAAGTGATTGTCCGAATGCCTCGTGGAAGATAGGATTTATCAAGTTACCTTCAGTAAATTAGGTAGATTTATTTATTCACTCATCTATGCACTGATAATGATGGTGTCTTGTTTTAAAATAATAAAAAAAGATACATTAAAAGACCTGTTTGGCGATATATTATTATTTCATAAATAACCTATCCGTGGTTAAAGCCCGATAACCGCAATAAAAGCAGTGTTTTACCATAAATTAGCAGTTATTGATATGTCCGTAATTTTATGTTGTTACTGTCACTATCTACTTATCAGGGGCTTAACTAGGCGTACTTCTGTACGCCCGTGCGTACAAATCATCTAAGTCTCAGTGTCGTGCATGTGGTGGACTAACGTAAACTTGACAGCACCGTCTAGCGGCCCCATTTTTCTTAGCAGACAAGGCACTGTACCTAAACTTTGAGGCAAAAAATTTCATATATTAAGTAATATATTGACTGATTATTGTGGGTGACATCATGCGCTCTAATTCATGAATTCATGAAATTATGACGCACAATAATCATACTAAAAAATAATAATGTTTACAAAAACATGTAGATCTAAATTCATTCTTGATAAATTATTTTTTTTTTGAAGTTTTAAGCTTGAATAAAAAGACAGTCTCAGTTGAGAAAATTCTCAAATGTTGTGAAACAATTTAACCAGTTTCAATCCAACTTGAGATTTTTCTCAGGTGAGTATATCTCAGTCAATATTGAGACAATCTTAAGTTGAGATTTATCTCAAACTTTTGAGAATGTAAGTGAAAGCCGGGCGAGCTAGTAAAATTTAGCAAAGTTCTAACTTAGATGCACATAAAGAGTAAATTATATTTTAAATAATAGAGGTATGGTATCTGCTGACACATTATCATACGGATATCATATCACATAGCAGTATCCCGATATATATATTATTTTGGAACCATCGAAGTTTTACTGAACGTTAAGCAGCACCTAAGTCCCACACATTGTTGGGCGCAAATGGTCGCAGCTCAAATACAACTTTTGCTGTCCGTTTAAAAGCAGGGGTAACTGAGTTTGTAAAAAATGACAAGAATGACAAGAATGCCTTCTTTCAATATTTATTGTTTTTCTAAAGAAACACTAACTTGCAGCAACAATTTCTCAGTTAAAGTGCACATTGTGTAAATTAGCAAAACAAAATAAATAAACAAATAAATACATAAACATTTATAAAAATACTACAAAGAATTTCTAAGGTTATTACCGTTTGTTTATATCATAAATATATTCTAGTATATAACTACGTTTACATATTAATTACACAGTTAATATTTGACTTTGTTCATTGTATATGAATTTCCTTCGGTTTTATTGCCTCTGTATATACCTATAAATTATCCTCGTGCAGCCCTTGTTATGGCAATTATCACAGTAAAGATGACTGTCGTGGGGAAGTCAAGGATACCTAAAATGAGATAATAATAAGGTTGTAAACTTAAAATTGTTTAATACAATTTTTTTTTAACTTTTAAGGACAGAAAATTTTACAATGAAGGAAAAAATTAATTAAATGTGTTTCATATATAGCCCCGTCCTTATTTTTGATGTCATGATGGTCAGACAACAACATGAGTTTATTAAGCCTTAAATTCTGCACTTCATTGTGGCGGAAATCGGAGTATAATTTAATTGCATGAGGAAACTCCACATTTGGGGGTTGTTCGTACATCAATTTAGAAAATCAAATAAACATTTTTAAGTAGCAGTCCGAATTTTAAATGGTATATTTTCATACAAATTCGATCTTTTTTATGAGGTGATTAGACAGGGCTAATGCACCGTGAAACTAACACTGTGCATCTATGTGCATACGATTTAAATATGACACATTTAAAATTGAAAGGTCGTATTATGTAATTATGTGTGCGTTTAAAATAAGAGACAGATATATTTTTTTTCTTAAACTCTATATAGCAACTAGGATATAAAAACTACTGATTGTATATTACACTAGTTAATACAATGCTTTGCCTCCTTTAAAACCGTTATGCAGAATTGTAATGTATGGTTGTTTCATAAAAAAACATAAAGCGATGAACAGCCATGTTGAATATTTCTCAGAATGCCATTTCATTTTGAAATAAAATTGAATTTTACATATAATAATATTTTCCCCATGATATGAACATCAAAATACAGAATAAACGCTTGCTTCAGTTTCAAATGAACATGCCTTTAATTGTTTAACATCAATTCCATTATTTGCTAATTAGAGAGATCCTTTGCAATGAAACAAAAATATTAAGAGGTTGGAAGGCAAAAACCTTTCGACAAATACACACTTTCGTCATAACAAAGAAAGTACAAACGTACATTGCAAGGTCCCGCTAGAGTATGCATCAGCTACGTACAGTACATTGCTTATTGTCGCGGGAACCATTGATCGTTGTCGCCCAGACGCTCTCTTTTGAATCCCTCTCTTTTGTCGGCTACACGAGGTCTGCAATTATAATATTAAATGAAAGCAGAGATCATTTAAAAAATCATCTTAGAAAAATGTACATGTATTTATGAAAAACAAGACATATCGCTAGTGACGATGGATGCTCATCAAAACTGCACTTTAGTAAATAATTCAAAATATGGAAAAAAATCTATTTTAGCATAATTGGCAAATAGAAAATACATAGGGAGCTATATAGGGAGAAACATCTAATATAAGCACACATGACCTTGACCTAAGCTTCATCCAAACTTGTTTATTAACCTACCAAATATGAAAGACTTCGGTCAAAGAAAAGACTGTATGTGCTAATGTAAAATATCACTGGTGACCTTGACCCAGTGCTCTTAAACTTTTTTCATAGGTAGAGGACCACATTAGGTATATTTCAGAGCCGTTAATAAATAAAAGCTGTGTAAGCAAAAGTATAAACATTTATTGTAAGTACTGGATTACATAATCTTCCCCAAAGAAAATTCTGCTCAGTATTATAAAGGTATAGAAGATAGATGGACGTACCGATCCATCAAAGTCGGGTCTGACTAACAGACAAGACAAATTGATTCCAGTAAAGCCTCCTCTACATAATGTAGTGGAACAATAATCAACATAAAACTGTTTACATACCATACAAGCTGTTCCAGATGGACATATTTTCACACTGCATTCCAAAAATACACTCTCATAGTTGTAAAATTTGAAGGCTTGAAATGTGGCCGTGGCAGTTCCATTACTATAACTGTTAAAGTTACTTATAATATCCGCTATGACAGAACATCTGGAAAATGAATTTTGTAACATAATAAATATATATATAATGCATGTAAAAAATAATTAAATATAAAATGCATGTTCTTTTACAATTTGTCAGTTTAATTTTAGTTTAAAGGTAGTATCAAATTGTATTAGATTTTGTTTTTCGATGCTAAACCATAACTTCTACACCGATGGATATACAGTTCTGATAAATAGACATTTCGTATGTTCACAATATATAAATATTTTCTATTGTGGTTCCAAGAATAGTCAAAGTTCCGTCATGAGTTCTGTAGTTCATTGAGTTCTGATTAACAGAATCATTATTAAACAATATTGCAAGAAATATTTATCAAAATATGAAGATAATTGTAATCATGTTATTTTATGTATTACAAAATGATAACTTAATAAAGATATTAGACATACCCGCCATTAGAGATCAAATTGACATAATTCTCGGATGAATCATCGATGCCCGGATACGCTGTACAGCTGCTCACTTCTAAGTTGTAGTTTTCTTTGAAATAAAAGTATAACAAGAACGTGTTTAGTGAACACAAATGTCCCCGGCTCATATTGATCGGTATCAATAACATTTTCCAAAACGATTTACCAATTTTTGTTCAGTTAAGGGAGGAAAATGTGCTTAACACAGTTATGTGTGATGACACAGTTATTAAACTTGATTGTCATAAACTTTGGCTATTGTCAACAAAATGCAAGTTGACATGTCAATGCTATTTGTTGAAGTAGAAACCCACTTAGTATAAAAAAACATGGCTGACAAAGCGGAATCACCTTAAGATATATCAAACTTGCTGGTTCCGGTTAAATTAGTACGGACAGACCAGACTGATAGATAGATGAACGGACGGAAAGTTCGAGGATATTATGCCCAGGAAAAAAATGTTAAGACTAAAAAATCATGTAATATTAAGTTGTTTTTTTTTTCATCAATAAAGCGAGGTATCACAGTTATAAATAATAATTCCAGTTATTAAGTTTTAAGATATAAAAAAGTTATAAGGATATAAATGACTCAGTATGACCTTGACTTGTTTAAAAAAATCAAAACAGCGCTCTACACATGGTGCCATTATTATTAACAATTCTGAACAAAAATTTTAATTTTCTTCCATCGGATCACAAGATATACAGCAGACACGAAACTTGAATTTCATACCTAGAAAGTGTGACCTTCACATTGGTACGAAGAAGCCAAACCCTGTGATCTGCAAATCGTCTCATTATGGTAAACAATGCTGTCAAGCAGATTTAGTTACCTCCGATCGATTAAAAGGTTATGGAAAGGACAGAGACGGAAGACGGACGGAAAACCAGGAGCACCATAGCTAACTTTTTTTTATTCTGCGCGTACAAAAATTGTTTAGACTAAGCCTGAATTTGTACGACAATATCATATTATATATAATTTACCTGGAAAGAGTATTGTCCAAATTATTTCACTTCCAACAGTAGTTGAAGTCGCACTTAGTTGTGACGTCACGCTGTATGAAGGGTCAATACTAATTTGTTGGTCTATAGTCAGCCTGGTTGGGAAAACAAAATATTGAACTGGTACAATTAGTGTTGTAATTTAGAAACGCTTAAATAAATAAACCAGATTTAATTTACACTTACAGAACTTGTATAGAGCTGACAATAGATAGTAAAAACGGACATGACTGCTTTATATGCCCAAGTATGTTTTCATTTTTAGCAATGAAGATTATAAATTGTCCAAAGAAGAATCTAGACTAGCGATTGGATACAACAGTACACTAGGATCTAAAGTTTTAGTGTTAATGACTTTAAAGACTGAAGAAGAATTTTTTAAGATGTTACTGTATATACATACAAGAAAAATCCATGACCCTTATCCCCGGGATGAAACCAATTTAGACCCCAGAGCCATAATTTGAACATATCTGGTAGAGGTACGCTAGACAAAGTTTCATGCTAAATATCTAAGCTTTTGCCTAAAGAAGATTTTTCAAGTATTGAATATAAATGTAATTATACATTACCGCCTCGGGATAGACCCCATGGCTGCAGTTTGAATAAAATTGGTAAAGGTCCACTAGACAAGTTTTATGCAAAAGATGTTTGTCTTAGCCTTAATAGCTTAAGAAAAAATACATTTTTGAATATGTTTTACTGTATACATAGTTGTATATATAATATTATAAAGAAAACGCATGCCATCTTCATCAAGGAAGGCTATAATTTGAACATTTATGTAGACACTAGACAATATTTCATCCGAAATATTTAAAACCAGACCTAGCAATTTTCATTTTGTGCACAGGTGTGCAAAAAATTACACATTTTTGTTAGACCTATATTTAAGATAAAATTCTTACTGTGCTGCATAAGAACTGTTGACTGTATGAATAACTCCTTGCTCGGCAATCTCCAGACAGACGAATTTTACTATCACAGTTTTACCACCATGTAGTTTATATGTAGCTATTTCACTGTATGGCCCGTACGTTATAATGATTTCTTCATTCTGTGCAGAATATAATGTACATTGGTATTTTCATTAAATAATTAACAGTGTCACTGATTATAAAAAAATGTCTTATTTCTGAAGTAATACACTTAGCAAAACAAGAAAATGCTTAAAGAATTTACTTTATATCAACATATTCATCAAAATTTGGAATAGTATATGCATAGGCAAAACCAATATCTACTAAGAAATAACAACCTAAAAGAAAAGATAGTCCACTTAATGAATTATCTAGATTTGATCTCTCTAAGTTGGTAATATAATAGGGATGGTGGGTGTAATAAACTTGTCAGTTATCACAATTTTCAGTACATGTAGTAACTTAAACCACTCCCTATCCTGATTATTTCAAGATACCGGTCAGAATGGTCCTGGTAAGTACATACAATGTATATGTTATAAAGTGGGATCAAGACCCATTCAATATCTGGCGTATAAATATATAGAGAGTTGAAGAATTTGACTTTGAATTCGCTTCTACAGTATGTTCCAGACAGATTGTTCAGTAACTGTGCAGACCAATAAATCTAAACCATGTATTGTTCATTAACATGGTATGCATTGACATAATCGTTCATATTGTTGTTGTCCTGACCTACTGTGTAAGAGACAACATATGTTGAATGTATTGGCAGTAACAGTGCCATTCAAAAGCAAATTTCGTTATGATGTTAGCTCAAATAATAATTTACCCGTTTCCTCATTTGGACTCATCAGAGTCAATAATTGACAGCATTTGGGTCGTCTGAAGCGGGCCTTGGCCACTTAAAGCCTATTTTGACTGGCTTACAAATAAACGAGGTTTTCTACCAGGGCTTTTGCATTCTAATCCCGAGTCTAAAGTCTCTAAGGCATAGTCAGGGATGTGAAGTTCACATTATATGTAGAAAAGCTACTTCATCAGTATACCAGAAATAAACATGGAGAGGAATTCAACGCCTTTCTTTATAAAGCAAAAGTGTGAGTTTTGCAAGGGACTATTGATATTTGCATGGTTAATAGTCATGGGCATTGTTAATTCAAGGCTGAACCGATGGAATAAATTATAATTTAAATTAATAATCCATGAAAATATCAGAATATCTTAATTAACATATAATACAAACATACATTGTTTTATGTTAAAACCAGCGGCTGTGTAAAAGGGAAGAGAGATAGTTGAAGTTTTCTTTTTCCTAAATTACAAGCAAAGCATGCAAAATTCCTTATCCTCCCACAGAGCGGCCTTACATTTAGCAAGTAAATAAAATTGTTGGTTAAAATGTTCACCGATGCGCATTTATCTCCCTTGAAAATGTCACAACTTGGCAGATTATAAATACACAATGGTGTTTTCTTTGCGGAAAGCTCGTAACAAAAATCTCTGTATAAACATCAAGGAAATGTTTTGTTCCGAATGAAAGTCACATAGTGCTTTATAAAACTGAAAAGATAATTTGTCTTTTTCAATTTTTCGTTCATGGTTCAATGATACACAAATCTAAAACTAATGCAATTTACGATTGCAACATCAAATTGATTTTGTGTAGAGTGGTGCAGAAAAACATTTCAATTTAAAATGTTTCCAATGTCAGAATTATCTTAGCATTTTTATACCTTTGAACATCCTGTTAAATTCACAGTTGTCGCATTTTCTTCATGCACTGTACATAGTATGTCATTTCCGTTTGTGACGACTTGCATGGCAAATAGGTAACTGTCGTCTGGTAGATTGAACACATTAATACTATCGTCGGGATTACATAGGTATTCCAACTGTGCTAAAAGATACATCGAAGTATGAAATTGTAGAATAAACAGAAACATGTATAGAATAATAAGAAGCAAATACTTCCGCAGCCCTTGTTCTTGAAATAGGTTTACACATTCGGTATTTCACCCAGTCAATTTGCTTGTTTGTTTGATTGGGTTTTACGTCATACCGACACAGTATAGGTCATATGGCGACGTTCAAGCTTTATTGTTGGAGGAAGACCTCAGGTGCCCTTCCGTGCATTACTTCCGGCACGAAACACTCGGCCACGGATGCCCCTTCACCCAGACAAAATAAACTATTCACACAATTAGCTTGACAAGTCAAGACTTTCGTTCCTGTCAGAAAGAGAATGTTAACTGTCAAAAATAAATAAACGCAAGACATTAAACCCAGTGACTCCATTAAAGTGAGAGGACCACCTTTGCGTTGGTTTGAAGTTTATCAAGTTTATTTCTTATATACTTTTTTGAATTATCATTCGGAAAAAAACTGGAATGCAAGGACTGACGGAGAGTATTTCATACCCCTCGCCTCGATATACACTGATTACTTCAGTAGTCATAATCAAAAACTTATTTTTATGTACATACAAACACATGAATATCCATTGCCCTTGTATCCCCAATCGCAGGTACACGTGAAACTGCCAGCAGTATTGTCACATCTAGCATTTGAAGAGCAGTTATCGATACGAGCAGCGCATTCGTCTATATCTGGTATGGGTGGTTCTTTTCTTAAGGCATTACCTGAACAAGATAGTTGTTTGTTTTTTTATTAAGTTATTGAAACAAAGTTCTATGTTTTGTGTGTGTGTGTGTTTTTTTTTACAATAAAAAACAGTTTAATTTTTGCTAAGCATTATGCAAGATCGTCCGTACGTTCTGCTTACGATGCATCATTCGAATACTTTTGTCGTTAACGGCTTTTATGGTTTACAGTATTAGGTCTACTACATGTACGTAGTAGTGATCTCCCCTTATCATGTTCTGAGATTTCTGCCATAAAACGCCTTAGTGATAACCTCCTTGGCATAATAGTAATCAATGCCTTCACAGACGTCACATGATGATGAAAGTCACATGACGTAACGTCGAAATTCAAATGAACATAGAAAATCTAACGTCAGTTTTCTCTTTCTGTTTTATTTTTAACTTTACGTACCTACGTTCGTTATATAGTTTATCAAGATTATACAAAATAATGAAAAATACATTCAAAAGCTAAAAAATATAAAATATGAAAATATTGATAAAAATGTCTTTTTTGATAATTTTTAGATAAATTATAACGAACGTAGGTACGCAAAGTTAAAAATAAAACAGGAAGAGAAAAATGGCGTTAGATTTTTCTACGTAACGGTTGATATTTCGATGTTACGTCATACGTTCCTACGTAGGAATTATAAGTTGTCACTTTTTTTTAGAAAAAAAAGTTTAAGTTGAAGTATTTTATGATATTCAATAAAAAGAAAGCATTTCACTTGTATTATCGCATGACCGCCACAACTTTCTTTTGAAGATCGGCGTTCTCTAAATTTCAAAATTTGAAAACTTTGGGGTGCTCTAAATGAGGTATCAGTACGCTTTAGGGTGCTCTCAATGAGGTATCAGTACACTTTCCCGCGCATGCCCAGTTTATTTTTTTATTTCAAATAATAAAGTAAGTATACCTGAAAAAAAGCAAAACAAAACATTACACATTTGACAGAACTTTTTATATTTACATATCATCTCGATCTTTTTTTTCTAACTTGAAAATGCAGTTATTATAAAGATGTTGACTCGAAGTGGAAATTAATCGCCATTTTCTGCATCCTGACCTCGAGAACAGATCAAATTATTCTTTTGTTTTTGCTTTGCTTTCAACAATGCCTTCGTTTTACAGGAGATTCTGACCAGTAAGCCACTAAGTAAATCACTACAAGTATGAACATAATATTCTAGCTTAATTATTAATAGATGGAAGTATATATAGTGTTCACATTGTCGTTAGTTTTAAAAAAATACGCGTACAAGATTATATACCTCTGATATATACACCGGGATTCTTATCGGCAATATTTCCTTGATTATATTTTGAAAATGAGCTGGAAAGATTATTAATATTTCGCATTAAGAAAAAATGCATCAACTTATCTCGTCAAATGGGCATCTAATGGGTGTATTTTTGTGGGTATTTCTAAAAATATTTATATGTTTAAATAAATCAAATATAACGAGAGAGCGTAAATCTCCAAGAAAAAAGTCGTGATGGTCATGCGATAAAACAGTTAAAGAATAAATACTCACCGGCTTCACCGGCTGCGGTAATGGTATCAGCGCATGGGGCGCCAAAATGGTCAATGATGGAAATTAATTTCCTATGATTGACCCTTGTTGTCGCCCCATGCACTGATACCAGCCGATTAAGTTCTCGTTTATATTCTATCACTATTACTTACAATTTTCGCCCGTCCATCCGGCCGCACACGTACACGTGAAACGATTCTGGTCATTTGTACACGTGCCACCATTCATGCAGGGATTACTTGCGCATTCATCAATATCTATATAAAGTAAATACATTTTATCAGTCGAATATTAACACAAGAAACACATCAGTTTCAATACTATAATCCGTGCAAAAAAAATGCACTAATTATTTGCAGATCTTTTTGCAGATCAAAATACACTAATTATTTGCAGATCTTTTTTTAAACTTACCGCTTCTGGTTACATTTGCTCAATATCTTTTTCATTTGATGATTAATGATTTAAATGACGCGTTTAATTTTAATAAGGCTTTTTTTTTATCTCCTACCACGTAGGAATTATAAAGTCCTACGTAGGAATTATAAAGTCCTATGAAGGAGTTTTAAACTCCTAATTAGGCTTTTCTATCTCCTACGTAGGAGTTATCATTTTTATACAACATTAAATTGGCACCAGGACGCTTCCGTAATCTATTCGTTTTGTCTAAACACAAGACAAAATATCAATGCATATTAAAGAATTAATCACAATTCTAGGGAATTAACTCACACTAAAAATCGAAAAAGTAGACAATTGCATACCTGTCAACCATTTTTGAAAATAAAAATCATTTGTGTATTGAACTCTCTTTAGTTTAAGATAAAGAAAGTTGAAGTTATTGATTCTGGTTGCGGTGACAACGGTGGATAGTAGTTTTAACGCTATTATAATTTATTATAAATACTTTAAGTAACAGTCTTTCTGGCCTAGTGGATGTTATTGCTGAATGTAACTCAAGAAATCGAAGTTCAAATATTATCTTATTGTTAACAGTTTTTTTTCTTCCTTTCTTTTTTATTGAACGAATAGTTATCGTACAAAGTATAAATGATAATAAATATCAATACTTAAACAAAATGAAAAAAATTGTTTACATAAACAATTTTGTTAACTTGGATATATTCAACAACAAAAATTTTCTGTGTGTACAGTGAAATTTAAGCTACAAAATCACATTTTCATAGTCGAACTTTATCCAAAAGACGTGCGCTTTCAAAGTTTGCAAAAGAAAAACTTATGAGTGAAGTCGCTTACTTACCATACGGAAAAAAAAACATTAGTTTTTAGCTCTTCTCAATACAGTAACTAGCAAAACTAAATGAGCTTCTACATGATCAAAACCGAGAATCCATATCACACGACACTGCTAACATCAGAAGCCTTATAAATAAGAACCGGTTGAACCGGGGGATGCTCCCCGAGTATGTTTTAGACACAGAAAAGTATACCTTTTGAAGTGTCAGAGTGATGTCCCTGACAAAGTTCAAAGTGTAAAAACGACTTAAAGGGCAATAACTTCAAAATCAAGCATGGCAGAGTTAAGGTCCTTTTCCGCTGCACTTCTATTTAATGTGATCAATACACCTACAAACCTCTATGGTTTCAGAGCTATGTCCCCAACAAAGTTCAGAGTGTAAAATTAAACAACGAAAGGGCAAAAACTCCAAAATTAGGCAAGGCAGAGTTATAACTCTTTTGCATTGCACTTCTTTTAAATGAGATTTATCTACCTATAAAGTTCATGTTGATATTTCTCATAGTTTAAGAGTTATGTCCTGGACAAAGTTCAAAGTGTAAAAATGAACAAAGGGCAATAACTCCAAATTTAGGCAAGGCAGAGTTATGGTTCTTTTGCACTGGACTTTTATCAAATGAGCTCTATCGACCTACAAAGTTTCATGTTGACATCTCTTACAGTTTAAGAGTTATATACCGGACAAAGTTCAAAGTGTAAATATGAACAAAGGGCAATAACTCCAACATTAAGCAAGGCTGAGTTACTGTCCTTGTGCACTGCATATCTACTCTACCTAAAAAGTTTCATGTTGATACCTCTTGTTGTTTCAAAGTTATGTATCGGACAAGAATAGCGGACAGACGGACAGACGAAGAGGCGACTATATGTTCATCCTTCGAGGAGCATAAAAATACTTGGGTGGAGAAGTTGAATTGTATGGTAAGTTAACAGCTTCACTTTGATAAATAAATTGTTTATTAATTTCATTCCGTTGTTAACTTACCATATGTAAATTACAAAGGGATAAATTAACAAACTTACATCAAAAAAGGTGGCCATCAATGAAATCGAAACAGTTCTCTAACATACAAAAACGCTGTCTGATTGCAATGGCTCAGAAAATTTTACAAAACTTTATAGGGTCCGGAGATACCAATTTCAAGTTTTGATCATGTCGCTAATAAAGCTCTGCTAGTTATTATAACGGTTGAGGAGAACCAAATTCTAATATTTTTTCAAGACGGAACGAAATAAAAATAAAATATTTTTAAAAATAGGTGGACAAGTATTGTTATTTATTGTATTTGTGTCAAAATATTATATAGTTTAATTTGTAAGTTTTGACTTTTAAAACATTTTCAATTGAACATCTTTAGTATATATGAGTGTTCATCCGTGCTGTTCTACACAAATTAGAAACTTCAACGGGAACGATAGCGACCGGAGAATGTTTCTAATTTCTGTAGAAAAGCTACAGATGAATACTACAAGCTTTATTTGGCTTACTTTATAACGTCACGACTATTTTTACAAAACATTATAAAAAAATGGAAGGCGAACAGAATTTTATATAGTATATGGAGTTTTTTCTTCTATGAAAATTAACACACAGAAATTTGAAAAAAAAAATACACTAATATCTAAAAGGAAAACATATTACCTGTAGTGCACCTTTCCCCGGTCCACCCGGCCATACACGCACACGTGAATTGATTCTGATTATTTGAACATGTGCCACCATTCATGCACGGGTTGCTCGCGCATTCATCAATATCTGAATGAAAAAGTGACAATGCCTCAGTTGTCACGTCTCTTTAAGAGCGATCGACTATAGACTGGCTCATTGGCACGTTATTTATTATGTAGATAAAATAAAATAATGATAAAAGGAATTTGATATTCAAACATGGCACTATCACTTCAGTTAAACGTTTATTCTAATCCCTTAAAGCTCTGTGACATGCTGTACATCATAAAAGCTATTTTTATTAGACAATTTAAAGACAGTGTGATTTTGTAAAAACAAAAAACAAAATACACAAAATCAAGTCTAAAAGTTTCCCCATTGCTGTATGGACAAATGCATATCTACTAGACGCCGCTTGCAAGCGGGGTCTAATAATAATAATATCGGTCTTAGCGGTGTTTATCGGCTATTTAACACCGGTTTGGAGTTTTGATGCGTAGGAATTGACCACCACGAAGGCCATAGGCCTGAGTGGTTAATTGTTTCGCATCAAAACGACACACTTGTCTGAGGCTATTATTAACTTTTTAAGAATGGTCATATAAAAGATAACAGTCATTTAAAAAAAGCTTTACTAAGATGTTAACAGTTACCGATGTCGCAATTTGTCCCTTGCCAACCTCCGGCACATCTACACGTGTACCCGTTCTGTTCGTTGTTACAAGTTGCTCCATTCTGGCATGGATTGCTCAAGCATTCATCAATATCTGAAAAACGTGTAAAAGAATCGTTAAAAGTATGCGTCGATTTATAAATGATTTCAAATGTTATATACTCAACAAAATAAAATAGGGGTCATAAAATTATATGCATATTTAATATGAAAATATTATTTTACATTTGTTGAAGTTTATACATTAGTAAATCCATTATCTACTGACACATTTCGATGCAAAAACAAAAGTATTCCATTTAATCCATGACTTAGGTTTCATCTCTCTGTTCACGGTGTCCAAAATGTTTCTTTAATTAAGGTTATGGGTGGGGTAAAAGATTTTAAAGTGTCAAGTTTCTGTCGTAGAAATTACCTCAATAGTGAGTGTGACCTCCCCTAGCCCTGATCAATTCCTGAATACGGGTTGGAAAGCTCCTGATAAGTGTACGGATGTCAGCAAGTGGTATCAGTGCCCATTCCTGAATAAGAGCGTTGGCGAGCTCAATTCTTGTTGACGGTTGTGGAATCCGGGCTTTAACTCGCCTCTGCAGAATGTCCCATGCATGTTCCAAAGGATTAAGCTCTGAAGACCGTGCTGGCCAGTACATCCGCTCGATTCCTTGTTCATCGAGAAAAGCGTTTACGATTCTGGCGCGGTGTGCAGTGGCATTATCGTCCATAAGAATAAATTCCTGACCTACAGCACCAGCGTAAGGAACAACATATTGTGCGAGTATCTCATCCCTATAACGTTGACCGGTAACAGAGCCATTCATAAACACATGTAGGTCCGTGTGCCCATCGTAAGAGATGCCAGCCCAAACCATAACTGAGCCGCTTCCCCATTGGTCATGTTCAACTATACAACAGTCTCTAAAACGCTCATTACGTTGCCGCCAGACACGTCGCCGACCATCATGGAAGTCCAAACAGAATTTTGATTCATCTGTGAACAAAATGTGTCTAAACTTGAACGCAGCCATCAAATTCTGGCGATCACGTGCAAACGCCAATCGATTAACACGATGTCTTGGAGTGAGTGGTACACGTACAGCTGGCCTCCGAGCGCGTAAATTAGCCTCATGAAGTCTATTTCTATACGTTTGAACAGAAATATTCACATTTGTTGCCCTTGCAAAATCTCTATTCAATGAAACAGCAGAATCAAATCGCCTCCGTTTCGCCATTACTACCATTGCACGGTCGTTTCGGGCAGATGTTGCCCTCAAACGACCACTTCCTGTTCGTCTAAATGCAGATCCGGTGGCTAGGTACCTTGTCCATAACCGCTGAATGACGCTTTGATTGGTGTTGTGGGCCTGTGCCACTTGACGCTGACTTTGGCCTGCTAGCAAACGTCCGAGGGCTTGTGCAGCCTCATCTCGAGTCAGGTGCCTCCTCGGCATATTTTGTGATAAAGGTAATTAAATTTGAAGCACAGAAAACAAGAAACTGTGTTAAAACTCCAGCGGTATAAAGAATAACAATCAGGTTGGATATGATATCTTCATTTTCAATGCAATTTTTGAAGGTACATGTCTTTATGAGCGTTTTGCACGGATTTTTCGATATTTTCATGGTTATGAAATCTCGCTGCTAACAGTACATGGGTGCACAAGGTGAAAGTGATATATTTAGATTAAAATATAAAGTTATTATCAAAATACCCTAAAATATATTATTGACCCCTATTTTATTTTGTTTAGTGTATTTTACGTCAACATATAGTCTACGTCAAAGTAGGTTTCATATCCACCGACTGCATGTCAATTAAAAAAAAAAAGTCTACCATAATTTCTCTTTTTTTTTCTAAATTAAACATTGGCTAAGCTTATGGCAAAATGTTTACATAAAATTTTGAAACGTCAGTGACGTAATGACGTCAATAAACCACTTTGACGTTTGATTAATTTCTTCCCAGCTTTTAAATACTGTATATTTTATAAGCATATGAAAATGGGGATAACTTAACTTTCATTCAATGTCTTATGATAGGGTTAAAGCAGGGATCTCAGTCCAAGTGCTGAGTTGAATAATCACATCACATCCAAATTAACATGATGTACAATATACACAAACATAGTGAATATTGTATTCTGTTTTACTACTGATATTGAGTAAAAATCGTTAAAAAAAGTATGTCTATACCATACGCGTGCAGATTTCGCGGCTTCTTTGCAACGGTATTAGTTTGAGCTGAAACTGTTATAACGGTATATTGCACAATCACAAATGAAGTAATTTGCATTATACAAACATAGCTTAAAGACTTGCTAAATGTTAGTGCTTCACTATAAGCGTGTCAATGGAAGAATGCGTATTCTTTACTTTTTCGGGCATGTTATAAATATAAAATGGGTAACTCCATTACTTTATCTCGTTAAATAAAATCAGTATATACAAATATTCAATGTCTTCTATTATTTAAAGATTTTCACACCCTTTTAAATTTTTTTTTCAACTCAAGTAATTATTTATGGTGGATGATTTAAGATATATTTGAATTTATTGTCATTTAATATAAACTTTAATTCTGACTTTAAATAACTTAAAAAGATTGTTCAAATGTAAAAGTGAAAAAGTATTAAACACTGAATTCATAAAAACACGATACAGCTTATACTTATCATATATATTAGTTTATTTTATAAAATGATAATCACTACGTGACTTTAATTATTTTGTTAATTAAATTTTAAACAAGAACTGTCGGTGGACAACGACGCTCGGACTATTCGAAAAAAAAGTGTTTTATTGAGTTATAATGATTAATACCTATAGGAATACTTTAAATTATCCGAAAATGTACAAAGACTTGTTGTTAAGATGCTTTATCGAGTAAATCACTGCTTTATTATTATGAATGCATAAAATTGTCCCAAAAAGGCACAAACCCTTCAGTAGTGATGGAGATACCAGCTTAGAACCAAAAACTTAAGCAAGAATTTCTAAGTAGAAAAAGGGGCATAATTATGCATAAAGCAAATCAGAGTTATGGGACTTGTGCCAATCAAGTAAGATATTCACAGAGAACAAGTCTGGAGTTTCAATTCATTCCCTTCAGTAGTTATGGAAATACTTAACCACAGGAACGCCGACGCCGACAAATGGGTGACTGCATTAGCTCGATTATTCTGCGAATAGTCGAGCTAAAATGAATATTGATCTTCGAATTATATTTTGACAAGATATAAAATGCGTTTACGTGTAAGAACACTTCCTCGAAAGTTGGTACTTATTTTTGCTAAGAAGAAAAAAGTTTAAGTTGAAGTATTTATGATATTCAATAAAAAGAAAAGGCATTTCACCTGTTTTTACAATCTACGCCCGTCCATCCGTCCGCACACGTACACGTGAAACGATTCTGGCCATTTGTACATGTGCCACCATTCCTGCAGGGATTACTTGCGCATTCATTAATATCTATATAAAGTAAAGACATTGATCAGTCGCATTTACCACACGAGCAATACTATAGTCCGTACAACTTGCACTTAATTATTTGCAGATCTTTTTTTTACACTAACCACTTCTAGTTAAAACAGTTACGTTTGGGCTCAAATATCTTTTTCGGTTGATGATTAATCACTTGAATGACACGTTTAAGTTACGAATAATTTACCCAGTGTAGTAACCCATGTGCTAAAGATGTATGTTATATACTAACCAAGCCTACAAAGAGCCTTGTAACAGGAAAAGCAGCTGTATACTTATGACCAAGAAGATCGGATACTTATAGATCTATGTCGTAAAATATATATACATCTACATAATGTAAAACTCGTTGGCATTTTTATTCCAACTACGCATACATTAGCACGTGCAACGGTTTGTATTTATTGTGACACATGGCTCATTTTGGCAAGGGTAACTGGCTCATTTGCTTGTATCTGATTACGCCATGATTAGTATCGAGTTTCAATAGATTTGCGTTAGACTGACTGACATATGAGTAAGGAAAACAACAATACAGCCATGAAAATTATTCAGTATTGCTATATGTAATTTTCAAATATATTCATAAGAAAATAAATGGTCATTTCTTTAAAAAAAGATTTTGCTCAAACAACGAAGAATTTACCGATGTCGCAATTTGTTCCTTGCCAACCTCCGGCACATGTACACGTGTAACAGTTCTGTTCGTTATCACAGGTTGCTCCATTCTGGCATGGATTGCTCAAGCATTCATCAATATCTGAAAAACGTGTAAAAGAATCGTTAAAAGTATGCGTCGATGTATACATAATTTAAAAATACATGTAACTAGTCATTTTTAAAAAAAAGCTTTACTAAGATGTTGACATAGTTACCGATGTCGCAATTTGTCCCTTGCCAACCTCCGGCACATGTACACGTGAACCCGTTCTGTTTGTTGTTACAAGTTGCTCCATTCTGGCACGGATTGCTCAAGCACTCATCAATATCTGGAAAAAAACGTGTAAAAGAATCCTTAAATATATGCGTCGATTTATACATAATTTAAAGAAAAACGTGTAACTAGTCATTTTTTTTTTACTAAGATGTTAATATAGTTACCGATGTCGCAATTTGTTCCTTGCCAGCCGCCGGCACATGTACACGTGTACCCGTGTTCGTTGATACAAGTTGCTCCATTCTGGCACGGATTTCTCAGACATTCGTCAATATCTAATAAACATAAAAACCAAAACCCTTAGAAATATATGCGTGGGATTAAACATTTTATGTTGAATTTATTATAAGTCTATATATAGTCTTTTGTTGAATCATCCAGCATGTGAAAAATAGGTCGAAGTATGAATTTCTAACATAATTCCGTTATTTTCTCATTGAATAGAGGGAACTATCGATACAGGAATTATTTTCAAACAACAGCACAGCAAAGGCGGTACAGTATACCCAGTCTCAGCTATAATTATATGAGAAGTTAAATGATTATAATTAGATATAAAGATTTGTACGGGCGATCACCAGTTTTTTAGTTGTAATTATAAACATGTTGGATTTATTAAATGGACTTGTCAAGTTTTGAATGTGGGGCAGTCCACCAGTATAGAGCCGGTTGAGACTGCACGGATGTACAGACTGGCCAGGTGGTTTACTGGTGACAGAGGTTAACCACTAAAGGTTCCAGCAGGTAGGTGGTTAACTCCGTTCATATTGTACAAGTTATGTCTTTTTGAAAATAATACCAAAATATTGAAAAAGTACGCTAAAATCTATATTGTACTCACAGAATATTATCATGATAGCAAATGATACTCACAGACTTGGGTTGATTTTCTTTCAAAACTATTTTACTTTTCCTTTAGGTTATCAGAAAAATATCATTTTTTAACATTTAATTTACTTTACTGTAATATGTTTGTTTTTCTTGTTGTTACCCTAATTTTAATACATATTGTTTGGTCATATGTCTGTGGTCGATGCACTCAACCGGCCTGATTTACTAACCATTTGTCTACATATAAAGGCGGCGGTTTAATCAATATAATAGCAAATGGAAATAACTCTAAAATTATTAATTGCAGAGTTCTCATTCCTGTAAGATACATTCGTCCTTACAGTTATCTATCCTCGAATAAAGTTTCAAATGAGTATCTAAAACAAAGATGAAGTAAAGTTTTGAACAATGCACTACTTTTTTACAGAAATATCCACCTATTGAATTTTGATAAAGTTTATATAGAATTTCTAGTGCTGTGAAAATGAGTTTGTTATTTTGCAGTGTTTCTTACGATTATAAAAAAAACACAGTAAAATTATCTAAGTTTCAAGCAAATTCCTATAAATGCATTAAAGACTATATGTTAACTAGTGTACAAAGAGGGATAAAAAAACGAAGAAAAACATACATGATCCTTCGACAGGTATATTACTGAACAGAAGTACTGAAACATAGATCATATAAAGTTGGTAACACAGTATATTCTTCATTTTGCTGTACCTGAAACGAAATAAAAACACAATTAAAGAGACTACCACACTAAAGAACACAATTAAGTTTTACACATATGTCTCAAATGCTATAATTTTTATTTCTCAAAAACTGTTTTATTAAGGTATTTTGATACAGTTTCCGAAAAATAAATACTATTTTGCCATATAGATGAAATATTGTTTACTTTTTTTGCTCTATCATAGTGAATCACTCTTTTGTATGGTAGTCAAAATAGTTGTTTACATTTTGAAACCCTTACGGCACATTACTGCACACTGCGCACAAATCCCTTAAGTTGTAAAACATCTAATAAGCTCTATATCCATTAAACACATGTTTTTCATAATTATGTGAAGATTTTTTTTTAAATATGGACTTCTAAGACATAATGTGTCGTCATTTGTTTTGAAGATGACGTTCATGCTAAACGTTAGTAAAGAATTTTCTAAATACACGAAGGGCCAAATATTAGTCAAATACCATAGCAGAGTCATGCGATTTTACAGTGACCTCCAATTATGATACCGAAGACACTTGTGTAGTTTCAAGAAAATACCTTCAGTAATTTAATGTTGATGTAGCATACAACAAATTTAGCATGAATTTTTGAAATTCTCAAAGGACAATAATTCAGTTGAGACCCATTTCTGAGTTATGGGTCTTGGAAAGTGACCTTTATAAACGATATTGTAAGTGTAAGATTACTTTCGGTAGTGTTGCAGGCTATATTATCCGGAACTCGGCAAATTTGGGTTTTCCCCAGCTTATCCGTATGTACAAACAATTTTCACTGTTATAGCTTCACGGTGCACTACCCGTCACAATAAATTAGTCAACCTGTTCCTACGAATTTGCTTGGACCCTGCGGCTAAGACCAAGGTCACATATAGGGGTCAAAGTTCAGATAAAAAAATCATGAAGTGTATAGGACCATTTAGTTATCATTTATTGAAGGATTGTAATATATATAGTGAAAAATATAATCGATATTATTTAGTACAGGCATGGAACTTGGGCCGCTCAATCCAAATCCAACAATTTTTTTCACCAGATTTCAAAATCTTGGTACCAAATGTTTGAGATTTATTACTCTTAAAGGAAAGAAAGCGGTCATTTCAATGATTTTAGATAATGAGTAGATATGTAGTCTCGAAGTTTCCGCATGTGTAAAATAAAAGATGTGACCGCTGGGTTTTTGTAAGAATTACCCAACTTAACGGCAGTTTAAATATGGTAAAGTTAAAAAAAATGTGCATCTTCTAATATCATAAATTCTTTCTTTAGATGACTACCTAAATATACCGGACCATGCTTGATAAAACTGTCAATTAGGTTTCTTTTAATTATCTTAATATAAAATTTTCTATTTCCAGAAAGATTTTGATTAACCGGACAATAGGAATTACCGGTGTGCGTAGTAGAAAACTAATGCACATTTAACATAACAAATTTTAATAAAATTTAAAGTCATGATCCAAAATATATGCGTATATATGCGTATAATTAGGTGTAATGAATTGTTTAATATTTTCATCGCAAAATATTCCAAGAAGACAACATTTTGGCAGGAATTTAAACATCTTTTTCCCGTAAAATGGTTTGAATCTCATCTACATCTTACATGTGAATGATATGTAGATAACTAGTGGGATATATAACAATAGGAACTTATTATGCGAAAAAATAAGAACGAATCAACTCACGTTATCACGTTGGCTGTGTCGTGTGTTGGTATCCTTTGCTACGCTGTTTCGGAATCTGGAACTCCACCGGGTCACTTAATACTTTACAGAGTATATTCCTCGTGCAGAAACTATTACATAAATAAAGAAATTGATTAATTAAAGTTTTTTTTTGCAATGTACTAAAATTTCACTTACGCCAAGATTTCCATCGCAAGGCTATGGTAACTGATCAATCCAGCAAATCTTATTTATAGGCTGGTTATAAACACTCACAAAGAATAGCACGAAAAATTCGTGAGTAATGGTAATTATGCAGGGTATTTGCGAGAGCGTAGTAAGTACTACGGAGTTCCTGGAAAACGTTACGAGCCTTCAACCTGTGAGTCCCAATTATGGAACGCCATAGCTGCCTCGTGTTGTTTCATTTCGTTTTATTTTTCCCTAAAAGCGTCTTATTATGTGTAATAGAAGTGTTGGCTTGCCAACATTTTATGGGAATCTGTCTTTAGGTCAAATATTCATTTTATCTTGTCAAAACGTAGTGCTGACTTGTCTAAACACTGTCTTATTATTTCAAAACGTCATGTTGTCATGTGCAAATCCGATAATAACATGCCGAATGGAAGTCTTAATATGTTTAACATGCACGCCATCTTTTCGAATTAAGATTTCATTATGTCTGAACAAAGACTTGTTTAAATGTTGTCTTGAAATTGTCTTATCATGTGAAACAGTAGTGTTATCTTGTCGGAAGTTGGTGTCATCTTGTCCAAATGTGATCCTGGTATGTTATGACACTGTTGTATTATGTTATACTGTCGTTTTGTCTTGTCCAAATGTGATATTGACTTGTCTAAACACCGTCACATTTTGTCAGACTGACATGTCATTGTGTTCAAATTCGGTGTTATCTTGCTTAATGAATGTCTTTTATGTCAAAATAGCATGCTGTCTTGTCCATCTGTGGTAGTAATTTGTCTAGAAATTGTCTTATTATGTGAAACAGTAGTGTTATCTTGTCGGAACTGGGTGACAGTTTGTCAAACTCATATCTTATTATGTCGGCTAGTAGTGATATCTTGTTCAACCGTTATATTGACCTGGCTGAGTGCTGTCCTGTTTTATCAAACTGTTATGTTGCTTCGTATGATGTGGTGTTATTCTGTCTTATTGTGCCAAAACATCATGCTGTCTTGTCTAAAACTGTTGTCATCCTGTCTAAAAATAAACTTATTATGTGAAATACTAATGTTGACTTGCCAATAAATTTTGTTTGTTTGTGTAAACGTTATTTTATTATGTCAAACAGTATTGTTGACTTGTCGAAAGATGGTATTGACATGTCTAAACACTGTCTTTTTTTCTCAGATCGCCATGCTATTTTATCAAAACTTTATGTTAACCGGCCTAAACACCGTCTTATTATGTGAAATAATTGTGGTATCTTTACAAATTATGGTTATGAACTGTTAGAACGCTATTTTAATTTGTCAAACTGGCATGCTTTTATGTCCAAATGCAGATTCAACTTGTCTATCTTCGTCTTACTATGTCAAATAGTTATATCGTCTTGTCGAAACGTGGTGATGACTTGTCTAAAATTATTATCTTTTTGTCAAAGTGTCATTTTATTTTGTCAAGCTTAGGTGTTATTTTTACTAAACATCGTCCTTTTATGGCGAAGTATCTTTTTTCCTTTTCAACTGTGGTGTTTACTTATTGAAACACAGTATCATTATGTAATACAGTGGCGTTGACTTGCCAGTTTATGACGTTAACATGTCTAAATGCCGTCTCATTATGTCAGATAATCGTGTTATCCTGTCCAGATGTGATGTTGTCAAAATTTAGTATCACGTGACCAGAGCCCGCGCGGAGCGATAAAATATAAAGCAAAAAAGATAACGGGACAGTTTAGCAAAATTAGACAGCGCTTTCTCAAGACAGAACTAAATTTGAAGAAATTTACACAATTATTAAACATAATAAGACTGTTTCTGTGTTTTACAAGAATACATCAAATTTCGACAATAAAACACTTATAAGAAAGAGTTTAGACAAGTCATTACCACATTTCGACAAGATACCGCAATTTTTTGACTTTATAAGACTGAGTTTTAACCAGTCAAAACTGCTTTTTGACAAAATAGCATACAGTTTATCATAATAAGGAATGATTTAGCCCAGTCAACACCCCATTTCGGCAAGATAATTTGAATATTTGATAAAAAAGACAATTCAGTAGTGTACGTTGGCAAATTAACACAGTTGTTTGACACAATTAATAAGACAATGTTTAGGCATTTAAACACCGTATTTTGACAAAATAACATGGCAGTTTGATAAAATAAAGCTGTGCTTTTACAAGTCAACACCAAATTTCGACAAGAGAACACTACTGTTTCAAATGATCAGACAGTCTTTTGAAAAAACAGCTCCACAATTTGACCAAAAATCGCGACTAACTAGTACATAATATAACACATTTCAGACAAGCCAAAACGACATGTTTGACATTATAACACTACTGTTTGAAATAATAAAACAATTTTAACACAAGTCAACATCACATTTTAAAGAGATAAGACTACTGTTAGGTATAATAAGGCAATGTTTAGACAAGTCGACAAATTACAATGACATCACAACGCTTATATTTGACAAAATAAGACGCTTTCTGGGCAAGATAAAAAGAAATGTAATAACATGAGGCAGCTATGGCGTTCCATACCCAATAATATCCTTTCCAGGAATCTTGTTAAAAACCTATTGAACTGTTTCAAGATAACTGTTTATGAGGAACGTCTTGTGTAATCAGTAATCAACTGCTTCAATAAATAATTTAAGTTATGTGTACTTTGCATCAGTTGCCAATCCTTCCGTATTTCCATAATAATACTATTCCGTAAGGTGACAAAGGGGCATTATTCTGCACAAATGATTGATGATGTGACTTGCTCTTGGCTTCAAATAAGGGCTATCAGTATAATCACCGGGAATCGCATTACTGAATAGACACAATATAATCTTACAAAGGAAGTTTATGGCCGTCACATTGGCAGGGTTACGAATGATCATTGTGTACACCGGTCTTACTGATATTTGATAGACCGGTGTGTATACAATGCCGAATGATGGCTTATCAAGCAAATGTTGCTTAAAATGCGGTCTCACTTACTCCCGGCAGAGCCCAGGACCATCCCGGTAAGTTACCGGGATGATTCGGGACGATCCGGGGTGTAATTATTGTTGCGGTCACACTAACCCCGGCAGCACTACGGTAATTCCCAACTAACCACCCAGGATGCGCTCCGGATCATCCAGGCCAAACCCAGGTGAAGCTTCGGTTCATGCCTGTGCTTCCCCGGTCGTTTCCGGATGACGCAGGAACTGCCCCGGTTGACCCAGGCAGAGCCCCGGTCGATCCAGGCGGAGTCCAGGACGATCCAGGCAGAGCCCCGGTGGATTGAAGACGCGCGAAAATGATAACATTGATTTTTTAATATAATATCTATTGTTCCAGAATAGTAATTCATGATGATTTTCTGAAAAACCCTTATGGAAGACTGGATATAAGGGAAATTGGAACGGTTTTAATACAAACAAGTGCAATCATCGCAAATTGTCGTGATTCCTTTGAAATGAACCGGGCTTTGCCGGGGCTCTACCGGGATCAACCGTAGCTCCATCGTCATCCTCCGGGGCTCTGCCGGGGCTCTCCCGATATTCACCGGGGCTCTGCCAGCATTCACCGGGGCTCTGCCAGCATTCACCGGGGCTCTACCGTAGCTCTACCGGCTTTATCATACCCCGGATCATCCTCGGTTTGTGCCGGCAGAGCTACGGTGCTTCCCTGGTGTAACCCCGGTCGTTCCCGGCAGAGCTAAGGATGAAGCAGGCAAAGCTTTACTTCCCGGATCATCCCGGACCACCCCGGTGATATTAAATATTCTCTTCCATCCGGGGTCGAATGCCGGATGTTCCCGGATCATCCAGGACGTTGCCGGCAGAGTTACGGATGTACCCCGGTTGTTCCCGGTCGTTCCCGGATCACCTCGGACGTCTACCGGGCTCTGTCGGGATGTGAGACTGTAGCTTTTAATTACTTTCAGACTAGTTAGAACGAGTGCATTATCAGATTATTGGATACAACAACAATTGCATCGTTAACAAAAGACCACACGTCAATGTTTGTGGTTGAATCATTATTCAAGTAAAAGATCAGAGTAGGAATCTTTAAATGCAGTTGTGTCTAGCGAATTTTTGATGAATGGCCAAAATTTCATGACTGTACATCAAAGCACAACAAAGTAAGACATTTTGTCAAAATCTAGGTCAGCTGATATCAAAGTTCAATTTGCATCTTAATCTGTGCACTTGGTTCAAATTTCATAGCTGTACATCAAAGAACAAGACAGCGGGTCACATCATCAAAAGCTAGGTCACCTGATATCAAAGTTCAATTTTACAACTAAAACTGTGCACATGGTTGTACATCAAAGGACAAGAAAGTAGGTCACTGTCTCCTTAGGCAGGGCATTATTTTGTCCCAACGGTTTAATTGAAACAATCGTGATACAGGTCCACCAAGCAATGTTTCGTATCAAATATCTAAGATGTATAGATCTATTTAGATTGGGAAAATACGTTAATACCATTTTAATATAAGTTATGAACCATGTAAATCTTATTTTCGTAGACGCCATCTTGGTTCTTACTATATTTGGGATATTAACCATATTTGCCGCACTTGTAAACGTCCTACATTTCATTACAAAACATTTCATTCTTTATTATTTCATTCATACAAATCATTTAATAACAACAAAAATACGTTTTAAATACAGAATATAAAGATAAATCTTATTTCGTACACCCGATCTTATTTTCGCTTTACATGGAGATATGAGCTTTTTGCGTACAAAGGTATTTTCAGCTTTTTTTAAATAGTTTTTGGGCTTTTAAATTTCAATCATTTAAAGAATGCATAAATATGTAATTAACATAATTATTTAAATGAATAAATGCACTATGTTAAAAATTAATCTTATTTTCGTAGCCGCGATCTGATTTCGCGAAAGTAGCTTATTTTCGGTATCCCGATCTATACATGTAGATCTACTTATAAATCATATTTTGAAAGTAGTTGTAGATTGATCAAAATATAACATAAACTTGTAACACATTCTCCAAATTGTCAGCGAATAAGTGAATGTCTGTCTGACCCCGACCTAGGAATATATTTTTTACTTGCGTCATGTTGCGTTGGATTTTTCGACATATGCGTTAAGTGACGTATGCATAACAAATCAGTGATTTCAATCTGTAGTATATCAGTTATTCATTCAACTAAACAAATATTGATCTATTAAAATATAGTTTTGTTATGTATTTCAATATTTTACATAGATCGAGAGCTACTTAAATAATCAGCCCATAAATTCAAAAATCCTGTATGTTTTGATCAAAGTGGTAAATCACACTAAGTGAAATTATATATAATTATGTACATAATATTAATATGCAAAATAAAACAATTTTCAAACATCGAAGAATATGTAAAATATGTACTGCAAATATTTGTGCATATTATATGTAATCATTAAAATATGAAATATGTGCATTCATTTCTTATTTTAAAATTTGACTTAAACTTTATAGAAAAATAAATTTTATTACCTCCCTTTATTTACAGGAAATGTTAAATTCGTTAATATCTTTATAAATAATGCTTTTTGGAACATACAATATTGAGAAATCTTAATTTCAGCATCATATTTATGATTTAAAACTATAAAAAATTGTGTTACAGGATCTACAGGGGCTTAGCTAGAGCAATTTTAAATATACGCACAAATGTACACGCAGGAGATCAAGGGGGCCGCAAAGGCCCCCTTGCGTGTCCAGGGCAGAGCCTAGTGGGGGTTCAGAGGGCGAAACCACCGAAAGCTCCGCGGAATTAGTATTTGAAGATGATTTGATTATACAATTTCAAGTGTATTTAATATCACATAAATGTGGTTTAAATCCTAAAAAAAAGCAATTTTATTAAAGACATATTACACCCAGGGAGATACTTAACGCTGGCTTTTTCTTATTTAAATGAGAGTCCTCGATACTTCCGTTTTAGAGCTGTCGACAAAAACAAAGCTGAAAAGGTTAATAACAGTTTCTTAAACTATCCGATTTTAAAGCTTATTTTTCAAAAATCGGAGAATGTTATGCCAAGTATAACATCTTTCTCATTGTTTTGGATTTTTCTTAAAAGGGACTCCACTGCGGTTTTTTTAACATGATGGGACTGAAAATATGTTTTCCAGATAACTATACCAATTGATGTATGTTTAGACGACTAATCCTTGTGCAAAAAAACAGATTATTCTCGCACTTCCAGAATAATTATTCAAATTGTAAAAGAATGACCCAAAATGAAAAGCGTTTAAACGCTTTTCACTCAAACCGGGCTAAGAAAAGCATAAAAATACGATTTCCAATATATTTCAAAGTATATTTCTTAACTTTCTTTGCATATAGTTCTGTTTAAAGTGCCTCCGCTCATTTATGTAAGAAATTCAAATGTTATGTTTTAGGCTTTTAAACCTCAGTGGAGTATCTTTAACTATAAATTTCGCCCAAGCAATGCTACGCGAATTAACAGTTTAATGTTCAAATCAAACCGAAGGAATATGAAGAATACGTACCCAATGACCTAAGATCAAATCAAATGATCTAGATTAAAGACACTCTTTTTGAAAAACATTCAACATCTAGGAAACAATAATTTAAAATGACATTGAAATTTGCTCTTGAAAGTCATCTAATTATTGATGAAAAAAGTCATCTAATTATTGATGATCGAAGAAGTTTTTTGAAATAACACATTTTATAGATATACATATGTATAGCGATGTAGTGTAGTACATACTGATCGAAGAACCTAATACAGTGTCTATTCTAGGAGGGGGGATGGGGCGATTCACTCATAATTTTTGAGAATCCCCCCCCCCAATCTTTTTCAGAGGCAGGGGGAAAAATTTACATAGAGAGAGAAGGAAAAGATCAACATATGTAATAAATTCTCACTTTTCGATACCCCCCCCCTGGTTTTTTTAAATCCTAGAATAGACACTGCTAATATCTCAATGCATTTGGAGATTCTGTTTTACTTTTGGTATATCCATGAATTTTAATCGGCATAACCCCACAATTTCGACACATATTGTATGGCTGTGATGGCTCCATCACATTTGCGAGGGCTCTTTTGCATTGCCTATGACACGAGCACCGTAACAATTGCTCGCATTTGAATAATGTTAACACTTTATTTATTTAATCAAGCTCTGTGAAATACGTTTTGTATTCAGCAAAATGGGATGTTAGGATCATGTTCCATCCACGATAAAATTTGCTGATATTTACGGTAAAGAAATCACACCGGTTAATATTTGGTAAACGTTCCGGCAACGTTGTCTTGGGTATTACCATTTTTACTATTTTCGGTGTTTTTTTTTCCAAATTGTTGCAAGAAAAATATAATCCTTCCAAAATTCAATGTTGAAACCATTTGCAACAGACTGATTTTCAGACGCTCACTTGATGCGACATATCGAACATGTATAATATGTACGTCTCATATCCATAACTGTCAATTGGAACTTGCACACATCTTGTTATATTAATCACATTTAAATTCAGTCATTCAAATCAATTTGTTTTAATATTAAGAACGTGCCCTATTCCGCTCAAAACAAAACTTAAGTCATCACATTATAATACCACAAAGTTATATAGACATATAATATTTTCTTACATGTTGTTTTTTTTATGATATCTATCTATGACATGTCGATATTATAAAAATATATGCATTATTTTCTTTTATTCATAAAATTAAAAGAATTGCATTTTTTAAAAAAGCAAATGTATTATTTCGTAATATTTTACAGAAAGAGCTCGTAGTCAAGTAGCTATTTAATCACTGTTAAAAACGAAACAGAGTCCATATGATTTTATAAGTACCAGTACTACCTATATTACTTAAAAAACAAAGGAATAATTTTGTATAACTATGTAAAAAAAGAAAAAAGAAAGAATCTAGTACATTATAATCAGGGTCTGTCCCTGTTGTAATCAAATACAATAAATATGGTCTTTTGGCGTATATAGGCAGAGCAGGATATAAGCCTTTACTCAAAATACATTGGAATTAGAGCTAATTGATTATTCGTGATTTTACTAGGTGAATCGTAATACTTAGTGATAAATAACTTGTGAACAAAAAATGCCATGTTGACCAAGGGTCGATTTAACAAGGGAACAAGCCACTTAGATGTGCTTATGCTTATTTTTTATACATGTCTGTCTTTAACTAATATTTAACTCTTTTACAGGAATGTACATTATATATTATATATATATATATTATCTGTTATTTGTTTTATTAAATCCATGTTTTAGTTGCTTTAATATCTTACTTCCATGTACTTAAATGTGCTTATGCTTATATTTTCTTTTATAGCTGCTTTACTTTTGTTTAGTTCATATACTATTGTTTGTCGGAAAATAGCTCATGAGCTAATGTTTTCTGTTTATATGTATCCGACGTAAAATAAATTTTCTTGTATCTTGTATCTTGTATTTAACAGCTAGAGCACTGTGACCTGATCGGGACTAATTTATACCTGCATTCGGTAAAATCCGTTATTAACGGATTTATCCGGATATGCGAATTAATCTTTTGTAAATTGAGTTATGAATTTTTCAGCCGAAATTGGAAATGTTAGTTTTTTCAGTATCAATGAATAGTATTATTATAAGTTATGAATTATTATTGCAAAGTTGAGGCCAAAACTGTCTATATCGGACAATAGAGTTTTCGAACTATTTACCGGAAGAAGTAACATGTCGATGTGTTGTTAGGTCAATGTTATGGCGGATTTTATCATTGCAAAAAATTGAGAAATTGTATGGTTTCCTTTTGTTTGTAGTTGTCGGCAGTCAGCACTTATGTGTACAAGTTGAAACTTTAACCAATACCATTTGTGTCAGTGAAATTTAACTGAAAATGACAACTTTTTCCCCATTTACACCACCTATTGTGAAACGTTTACTAAGTTTGAAAAAGGGAGATTCAGAAAAAGAAGACAAGTGGAGTGAAAAGGCAGTGAAAAGTCTAGTAAAGAAATTGAAAAAGACTGGAGGCTTAGATGAACTAGAAAAGTCTGTAACACAGCAAGATTCAAGCACAAAATGTATCACTATACCCAGGTAAATTTCACATAGCCAGCTATTGACTGATGAATAGAAGCATGAGCCATACATTCTAGACAGATACTGAGGATTTTGAAATTTATCAATCATTTTAAACTATATAAAATGTGCTTTGACATTGCAACAATCTCATATCTACAAAATACTGTTATGAATCATTGCAGTTTGCATGATCTAAAAATTTAAAATTTTATGGGGTTTTTCCCCCATCCAAAAATGGGGGAAAATTTGAATAACACTTTGGGGACATGATTTCCCAAAATTATCAGACATACGAAAATAATTCATTTTTTTTTAAAGTTTAGGCTTTTTTAAACAGCTATCATCCAGTCAACTTTAAAAAATGAAATAAAAAAAATGAGTAAGTTCAAAAAAAAATTTCGCAAAAAAATTTAAAACAACCCTAGTACCGTTGTGGTGCTACACCATGGCAGAAAATTTTAAGATACGTGAAAATTAACTGAATTAAGTTGGAAAGATTGTCAGATGCGAGACTTGGCATGCATTGACTTCATTAAAATAGGCGATCTGAAAAAAAAATTTGCAAATTGAGCAATGGGGCGGCCTTGATGCAACACTAATTGAATTATTGCACAAAGCACAGGGTTAGTTCAGCCAGTCAACTGGTAAAGGTCAACTCGGCATGGGTCAATTTGGCCCTTTGGTTTATATAGAATTTATTTTAGTTCGATTGTGTAGCAAGCTATAAGCTTATAGACACAGTTTTGAATCCAGAGCTCCAGATAGCGTGCGTATAAGCGTAAAATACGCATAGAAAATCTAAAATACGCATCACTTTCAAAATTCGTGCGTCAATGTTACGCACAACAAAATGAAAATACGCTTGTATGTCAAAATTTAAGCGTAAAAGAATAGAAGTGTAAACATTTGATATTCAGATAGAGGATGTTTTGAGCATAAAAATACAATATATTTCCATTTTATTGCATTGAAAACTAAAAGTTCTGTTGTCAACAACGCATGTTAAAAACGAAAGTAGCAGGAAGTACAGAAGGGAGGTAACTCCCGTAGATCAACCTGTGAAATTATTGACAGACAATCATCGTAGGAGTTAACATAGTATTAAGTTTGTTTAGGCATCTATTGACATGCTTATGTCTCAATATAAACAAAAATATATTTTAATTTCTTTCACATTTGTTGTTGGAACAAAAAAACATGTTTTTCACCTGCAGTTTTGTACTCAATATTTCGTACCCAGACTAAAGTTACGGACAATTTTCTCTCAGACCAATACTTTTTTTTTAAGGAAAGATAAAAAATCTTGTTTATTTTTCTTTAATTCTAATTTCAACTATAATTGTTCAAACTGAAGCACATGATAAGCTACATGCCAACAGAAATAAAGAAAGAAAAATAGTGACTCCTAGAAAATATATTAATTTTAGGGCTTCCACTAGTGGAAGTTTGGGAGTCATTTACTCCTTCATTTTGGCAGTGACTTACAATATCAGAGATTTTGAAGTCTTTGACTTCCAAATTTTGAAAATGGAAGCCCTGATAATTTTGCAGTGTATCCTGAACTTGAGTTCCAGTATACTCTGGAAGTCTGACTTTACAGGGCATGTTTTGTATTGCTTCACATGAATCAGTATTTTATTTTTAAAGGTTTTTCTAAAAAATGAAAATAAACAAACAAACAAAAACAATAAGTTTAATTTGTTTATAAAAAATGCAAAATGCTTTTTTGAAAGATTTTACCCCTTAAGTTTTTCAGATTTTACAATTTACCCCTCACTCTAAATTTTGAGGGGTAAAAACCCCTTGGCCAAAAATATTATCTGGAGCTCTGTGAATCTGTACCTGGAACCAACCAGTACTGAGCAATGAGTGTAAATTTTCTTGCTCAAGGAAACAATGACTGGCCCCTGACGGGGTTTGAACGCATGCTGTTAGCGATCATTAGATTACTAGTCCGATGCGTTAACCACTCGGCCATGCCGCCACTAAAACTTGGCCCTTTATTCAAAACCTTTTAGGATATAGATAATTAGATTGATTAGTAAACAAACTTTTAAAGGAGTAAATTACTATAAAAGAATGGGAACAATAGGTATTAACAGTAAATTTCCTTTGATGCTATTCATTCAGTAAGCTCTTATGTGGCTACTTTTTAGCTCACCTGTCACAAAGTCACATGGTGAGCTTTAGTGTTTGCTTTCCGTCTGGTGTCCGTCCGTAAACTTTTACTTTAAACAACATCTCCTCATAAACCGCTAAGCCAATTTCATCCAAACTTCACAGGAATGTTCCTTTGGTAGTCAACTTTAAAATTTGTTCAAAGAATTTAATTCCATGCAGAACTCTGGTTGCCATGGCAACCGGAAGAAAAAGCTGAAAAAATCTTCTTTTAAAAATCATAAGAGCTAGAGCTTAAATATTTGGCATGAAACATCATCTAGTCAGTGTCTACCAAGTTGTTCAAATAAAAGCCCTGGGGTCAAAATTGGCCCACCCCGGGGGTCATTGTTTTTCCCTTGTTGTATATAGTAAAAACTTAAAAAATCTTCTTTTAAAAAACCCAAATAGCTAGAGCTTAGATATTAAGCATGAAACATCTTCTAGTGGAGGTCTACCAAGTTTGTTCAAATAAAAGCCCTGGGGTCAAAATTGGCCCCACCCTGGGGTCATTGTTTTTCCCTTGATGTATAAAGTAAACACTTAAAAATCTTCTTTTAAAAAACCCAAAGAGCTAGAGCTAAGATATTTTAGCATGAAACATCTTTTAATGAGTGTCTACCAAGTTTGTTCAAATAAGGGCCTTGGTGTAAAAATTGGCCCCGCCCCAAGGTCATTGAGTTTCCTTAAATGTGTAGAGTAAAAACTTAAAAATTCTTCTTTAAAAAAAACAAAAAGAGAGAGTTATGTTCAAATAAATATCTCCTGGGTTAAATTGTTCCAATAAACCCAGGGGCCTTTTTCTGGCAGGGGGGTGGGGTCTTGTTATCATCCCTATTGTTCTGTTAAAACTTTAATAAAAAAAGTAGAGAACCAAGAGTAGACCCCTTAAATACCAAAAACTTTTTGGCTGTCTACGTTTTTTCAATAAAATGAGTTAAAAGTCAGAAAAAAAGATAAGGTCTAATGTCTATCCTTATTTGGAATTGTTTTAAACTTTTTAAAAAAAATTTCCTGAATTGTTTATCTGTGCGTAGATTTAACCAAAATTAACGTCTTGTACATTCGTTGTTTTGGACTAATTATATCGATATGCATGATATCCGAATATTCCCGAATCAATGCCAACTAATCAACGGTCTCCGGTCTTTGACGGTCCCGGTCTCCAAAGACCGACTAAGCATGAGAACAGCGATTTGTCTACTCAGGTTTGACGGTCTTTACAGACCGGCAGAGACCGTTTTTTTGCGGAGACCGTCAATAAGTAGGTCCCAGCTGTATCAATAGACGCTTTGAAAAGCAATAATGGCGTCATACAGAAGGGAAAATGATTTGAAACAAAACAGTCGCAAATAATAAAAAATCAGTCAGAAAACGAACTTGTTTAAAAATATTATGGAATATAACATGAGCATTTTATACAAAATTAAAACAATTGTGAAAAGTTCTAGTAAAACTGTTAATCAAAACAGTTACGATATCTAAATTTAATTTTATTGATATTGAAACCATAAAATTCATATCTTCATAATTGAATACCCAATTGATCTTGAAATCGAAGAGTATCGAGTTTTTGAATACCCAATTAAATGGAGCCAATACCCAATTCCAAAGGAAACGATGGAGTAATACTCAATTCACTTTTAAAGCTTATCTGTTGCTCTGCTATATACAGGTGTGCGGTCTCATGCCATCATGGCCCTCTTGTTCTGTTAAGTGGCTTAAAGTACAAAAGAGAGAACAAAAGATTAGCCACTTAAATACCAAACTTTTGGCATGTCTGGTTGTCAGTAGACTTATGAAGTTAGAAGTCAGAAAAAATGTAAATGTCTAAATTCTATACTTATTTGATTGTAAACTTTTTAAAAAGAAATTTCCTGATGTTTTAATCTGTGTGTACAATGTTAAAATACACCATCTTGTAGCATGCTATTCCACCCTATACTACTAGATGTACTATGCATCTTCATCCAGTTGAACACAAGCTCAGCGCCCATTATAAATTGGTCATATCAAGGCAAATGACCAATGCTTTAATTAATATAATTATGTGCAGTACTAAAGATAGTTCCGCCTGTCAAGTTGTTTTGGTAAAAAATGGACACATTTATCATTAGGTCTGGTTCTGCAGAGAACTTGAACAGCTCAAAATCAAATGACTGCAATATATGCACAGTGACAGGTGTTTTTAAAGATAGCTGGTTTACCGATTTTACCTGGCTCTAAAAAGAAAGACGATAATTTTGATCCTGCAAACCAGTCAATTATCATGGTAGAATATTAGATATTGCAGTTAGAGAAATTAATTTTTTTTTTTTTTCGCTTTGTTGGAAAAAATATTTAGGCAGCTTATAGTGATGATTGGTATGTTATAACTGACAGATTCAAAGATTGTGTTTAATGGTTTATAATACAATGTATATAGGTATCCAGTAGAGCAACAGATGTAAGTGTATTGTTCACATTTCATTACCTGATCTCTTTATAGAGTTGTCTTTCTGCTTATATAAGTAATTATAAATTATGACCTGTATTGAGTATATAACTGTACAAGGTTAACTTTTATTAACTTTTGTCAAGAATATTGGAAACCAAGGTAAGACACCAAGATAAAACCGCATAATTATCGTCTCTCCATCCAATCCAATCGTTAGCCACATTAATGGGATAACTATTAGGTGTACTGTTATCAAAATAATAATAATAAGTAGAGAGAATGGTCATTGTAAGTAGGTGACCTGTTGTTATTCCATTGTCAAGACTTATTACAAGTTTGCTGTTTATTTTAACTTGTTTCTAGTGATAATAGGCCAGCAAAATGAATATTAAGGCCCTGATACATTTTAGGGTGGATTATCAATTTCCGACCTGTCTCTGATGTTTATTTTTGTATTTAATACACTTGATATATCTAACAGTAACACTATTTTTAATAAAGTTGACATTTCTGGCAGTCTCTGTACTTTTCATTAACTTATACACAGTTGCCTCCCTTATGTGTATACAATGTCCACTAGAACTGACTAGAATTGTATTTTTTACTATAAATTCCAATAAAGCTGTACAATTTAGCTGAAGTTGTAATAATAAAATCAAGTGATCCTTGCTTAAAACCTACTTTCACTTTACAGCGAGCTGTTTTGATGACGTAAAATGTGACATCATTGTAACAGTTTTTGTACATGCTCCAGCGGCACTGAATTAATGGTTTATGAAGTTTTAATCTGAGCGATCGAAGCTAATGCTATCAAGTCCTCATAAATTAATTCACATGACCAGATCATAATATTTTGGCAAATCATAGTTGAATATTTGATTAGTATTTACATATATAGTAACAAGTGTATGAATGGAAATAATTATGTAGGTCCATTTTGATTCCTTGTTAATTTAGAAATATAGAGAAGTTTAATGATAGACAACTTTGTATTAGGGATTTGGTATAGTAAGTTAATAAAGTTCACCAGTATTGCTTGTTCATTTTTTTCTGACCACAGTTATTGTTCATATTAATTAACTGTATAAAATACTTTTAAAAAACAGTTGAAAAAAACAATGTAAAAAAACCTGACACTGGGTCTGTTGTTGAAAAATAGAAACTGGGAACCAGACTGAAAAATTTTCTTTTCCATCATCATCAATGTTTGCATTGTGGTCATGTTCTATAGTTAAGTACTGGTACTGAAGTAATAAAATACAGTTATACCCAGATTCTGTTTTTGTAACAATTGCAAGAAGGTGCATGTTACTTGTTATGATTTATGTTAAAAGTTAGCTTTCACTATTTTGTTTGCATGTCAGTTATTTGTTATTTGATTATTAACACTTATCTTTGTTGATTTAACATTGATTAGACTAAATGTTATTATGTGCATATTTTATAATTATAATTGGAATAAAAAATTACGGATAAAATTGTATTTATTAGAAATCTTTTCTTCATAAAGTTAGATTGCTCATGTCATCATCTTAGTTACATAGATTTTTAAACCAAATCGATGACTTGTCTAACACCTAATTTTTATAAAACTTATTTTATTAATAAATACTAAAATTAAGTTAGAAAACTTTGTTTGATAAAGAATTTCAATATAAAATCAGCTGTGTTTCAACCAAAAGTGCAGTCCAGCTTCAGTCTGGCATATACAGAGTTTATATAGGTTTTTTCCTTATTGAAGGGAGATAAATCCAGCAATTACTTTTTCACACTGGTTATGACAATTTGTCTGACCTTTGTCAACACTGTAAATCTATCTGTCTACCAATGTATATATACCTTTTTTTTAATGGAATATTCCTTGAATGCATGTCCTCTACTTTTGAATGGAGTAGAATGGAGTCAAGGTTACAGGTGCCAAACTCCTCACAGCGGTTACGTCACGCTTTGCTACTTTAACCACTGCCACCACTGAAATCACGTGATGATAGTTGTATCATGTGACAAAAACATGGCGGCCAGTTTCAGAACGCCAGGGATCCCATATCAAATTGGCAGATTTATAATTACATCCTTACCAGACAAAATAAGTTCAAGACACACAATTTGTTATCACTTTAAAACAAGTGCCGGATAAAATTTATTGTGCAATCGTTCAATATCTGTTTATATTCTACCATTGTTTACTATGCATACGGTGTCACAGTGAAAATATCTTTCGTTATGTTTACAAAATAATTTTTATACGTATATTTTTTTACTTTCTTGTACATTAAGCATAACTATTTAACGAAAGAAAACTAAAATGATATAAAGTATTCTATTTTTAAATTAAAAGTGAAAAAAATATATCCGGCTATATTCGACCGAATTTACTTGTGGTGGCAGTGGTTACTGTACAGATCAGGGGAAGTTACCGCTGCGAGGAGTTTGTACAGGTGCTATAGGTTTTTACTTTTTTTGCTCATATTGCCTTGATTTATTGATAGTGAGCAGGTATATACCATATTGATAGTGAGCAGGTATATACCATATTGATAGTGAGCAGGTATATACCATGTTGGTAGTGAGCAGGTATATACCATATAAATAGTGAGCAGGTATATACCATGTTGATAGTGAGCAGGTATATACCATATAAATAGTGAGCAGGTATATACAATATTGATAGTGAGCAGGTATATACATTACCATATAGATAGTGAGCAGGTATATACCATATAAATAGTGAGCAGGTATATACCATGTTGATAGTGAGCAGGTATATACCATATTGATAGTGAGCAGGTATATACAATATTGATAATGAGCAGGTACCGTATATACCATATTGATAGTGAGCAGGTATATACCATGTTGATAGTGAGCAGGTATATACAATATTGATAATGAGCAGGTACCGTATATACCATATTGATAGTGAGCAGGTATATACAATATTGATAATGAGCAGGTACCGTATATACCATATTGATAGTGAGCAGGTATATACCATGTTGATAGTGAGCAGGTATATACCATATTGAAAGTGAGCAGGTATATACAATATTGATAATGAGCAGGTACCGTATATACCATATTGATAGTGAGCAGGTATATACCATATTGATAGTGAGCAGGTATATACCATATTGATAGTGAGCAGGTATATACAATGTTGATAGTGAGCAGGTATATACCATATTGATAGTGAGCAGGTACCGTATATACCATGGGTTATAAACATACATCAGCTAGTCTTCTATTTAACTGTGATCAGTGAGTGGCCCTTCCATAGTTTACTTAATATGGTCAGTGTCAGAGTGATCCTTCCTTTGTGTAATTAATAAGATGGTCAGTGAGTGGCCCTTCCTTAGTTTACTTAATATGGTCAGTGTCAGAGTGATCCTTCCTTTATGTAATTAATAAGATGGTCAGTGAGTGGCCCTTCCTTAGTTTACTTAATATGGTCAGTGTCAGAGTAATCCTTCCTTTGTGTAATTAATAAGATGGTCAGTGAGTGGCCCTTCCTTAGTTTACTTAATATGGTCAGTGTCAGAGTAATCCTTCCTTTGTGTAATTAATAAGATGGTCAATGAGTGGTCCTTCCTTAGTGTAATTAATAAGATGGTCAATGAGTGGTCCTTCCTTAGTGTAATTAATAAGATGGTCAATGAGTGGTCCTTCCTTAGTGTAATTAATAAGTTGGTCAATGAGTGGTCCTTCCTTAGTGTAATTAATAAGATGGTCAATGAGTTGTCATAAGTTTAAGTGGGGAGATCATTGAGTGGTAGTTGTGAACTTGTCAGTGACTCAGGGATTATTTTTGCCTAAGTCAGAAATGAAACTGTTAACAAGACACATTCAGGTAAGAGCCTCATGTTCAAAATGAATTCAGGTAAGAGCCTCATGTTCAAAATGAATTGAAGATATAATGTTTCATAATTTAGTGAGTTTTATTTATTTATAGGTGCTGTGTTGTTTTCATTAAAATTTTTGTTCCTTATTGTCTTCCAAACAAAATTTACTAAGTAAAGATTGCATTTTCCTAAACCACATTTTAAAACTTGTAATAATACTTTGTACAGTCTTTTATACATATATGGCAATTTTATTTTAAATATCTATTTCAAAATTACCTTCATTATTGGCTCTTTCACCCTCTTATATTACAAAAAAAAGCAATTTACGACTATCCCTGCTAGTCTGTCATATATCTTTATTAGTTTTTTTTTTCAAAGGCAGACACCAGTATGTAGTTTTCTTAATGCCGTCTCTAGTCGTTATTTAAATGTTGAGATTTTAGTTCAATAAAGGTTCAGATATATGCTGTGGAAGCAGCAGGGATAGAGGCTGAAGTTTGTTTTTTGCAAGGCGTGACAGCAGAATGTATGTCTGCTAGAAGTTTAGATCTACATTGAAGATATATCGATTTCATGTCACTTGAGATTTCCAAGGAAATTATTTTAGTCTAGTATTATTTAAGATTCCCAACTGTGTGCTTCTAGTACAGTTTTTGTTGGTTGGTTTTTATTTTGTTTGAATATTCTTGTTTTTTTTGTTGTTATTTTTTTTGCAATATTTTTTTACATTATTTTGTCAATGTTTTCATAAGAAGTTATGAAGTTATGTTTGATATGAAGTTATGGTTTTATTGCCTTAAGTGTGTTTAAGTTACTTTGCGCTTTCACATTGATGTAATCATTAGATGAGTGCAGGTGCCCAATAATTCTTTACACCATTAGATGAGTGCAGGTGTCCAATAAAACTTTACACCAATAGATGAGTGCAGGTGTCCAATAATTCTTTACACCATTAGATGAGTGCAGGTGTCCAATAAAACCTTACACCATTAGATGAGTGCAGGTGTCCAATTATACTTTACACCAATAGATGAGTGCAGGTGTCCAATAATTCTTTACACCATTAGATGAGTGCAGGTGCCCGATACTACCTTACACCATTAGATGAGTGCAGAAGCCCAATAATACTTTACACCATTAGATGAGTGCAGGTGCCCAATAATACTT